CCTCAGCGACACTGACACTCGAAGGCAACTACATAAATTAATTTAATCTGGAATAAACCTCAAACACTTACAACTAGCATCTCCTTCAAGGCCCAAGATCTTTCGGTATCCTCCATGAGAGAGAACCCTCACCAGTGTTTGGGCTGTGAAACACACCATGTCCTGCAGAAACAAATCACTCAGATTACCTGTATTTTTAACACTAAATTTGGTGCATTACTTGCTGACTGAAGTCTGCATTACCTGCTGCTCCAGGGTCATGACAGTGTGCACACGGAAGTTTCCACTTTCACAAGGATCAGTGATTCCAACAGAGCCTGGCAGGAAAAGACCTGCGGCGAGCATCTGAAGACAGCGCCTGCAATACACATGCTCATTATACCTCAAAATCCACAAGAAGTTTGATGCCCATTGTCACAAGCAAAACAAACCTGTAAGCAACGTTGAGTGGCAAGGGCTGCCTAGAGGGGTTGTTCATCACAGCAGATTGTCCCTGTGAAGAGAGCAACATTACAGGTAAGTCAACTGGTGTAGTGCAGAAAAGATTAGATAAAAGTTAGACTCCAAAAATAATGCCCACCAGCAGATCTAGAATCCAGGGTGTGAGAGGCTCAAATCCAGAGAATCGGACTCGCAGGTCTTTCAGCAAGCGGATCAAAACTTTAACACTGAGTCAAGATAGAAACCAAAGTAAGCCACAAAACACATTTAATTCATTAAAGCCATTAAGAGAAAGTGTCCCTACGTTGACTGAGAAGCATTTTCCTCAAACCAGCGAGCGTGACGAATGGCTGCCAGAGCACTTTGCAGAACCTTGATGTCCACTGCAAAAGGAATAGGAAAAATTTAACTTTACAATTCTGTTCGACCCGATTACAGATAATTGATAAATGCCAGATATTAAAGTTCTGCACGAATGTAGACTAAATAGACCACTAAAATCAACCATTTTAAGTAAATTTAAGCATCACAACATTAATGTACAGTATGAAAAAAGGATATTTATTTTAAGATTGATTATTACTTTTAAGTGTCATTAAATTATTAGTGTTCTTAATGAGCATTAGATGATAGCAAATGTAAAATTAGGCTAAATCAGTGTGCACAATATCCAATACTGACAATAATGAGAAAGAAATAAAAAGAGAAAAGAACAATGGTATAGATAAGCTAAGAGAAGCTCATTTGTAAGAACAATACATGTGATAAACAGCTCAAGTGTTTGAGTGTGACATACGGTGGAGCTCTGAGTCCAGTTTGCGCAGGTTGGGTGGAACCGTGGTGATGAGGATTTTCACAGTGGCATCGGCAGAGCTGATCTCAAATCCTGTCTCATTGGTCAGCATGGACAGTACTAAAGAGAACAGGGGAACGCATTTAATTGAGAACAGTGTTTTTTCCATATTTTGATTACAAATTATTTTTTCTCCTCTATGCTCTGACTGGCCTGCCAGATTAAAACCCATACTCACCCTCAGAAGGGTCCTGTGTACGCAGGGTCTCAACTACTTTGTTTCCCAAGGCAGCGACAGCTTCCACTGAACAAACAAAAAAAATGATAGGCTTATCGTTAAACGAAGCATACTTGGGCTAGTGATTAACATTTTAAGACAACTAAGCAGATCTCAATTCATGAAATGATGAGACTCACAGGTGGGTAAAATCTTCAGGATAACCACGAGGTCGGCTACATTGTGTCCTGTCGTCATGGTGCCCTTTTTATACGAGCCCACTTGCCTAACTTCCTCAATTTGCTGGGAATTGTTAAAAATTGGATAAGTATAGTATTAAAAACATTTAGTATTACAAAAATATTGAGAAAGAAAATTAACTTATTGAAATGTCTTCTCACCACTTCAAAGTTTCCAGGTGCCACGATGAGGTTGTCAATGACGTTGTTAATCTTAGTGACCAAGGACAAAATAGAAGCCTGCGAAAGAAAGAAATAATCATGAGCAAGAATGATTAAATTTATTAAACAACAGAGATTATCCCAAAACTTCATTTTTAAGACTTCAGAGTTAACATGGAGTGTGATTAGGTACTATCATCTGCTGATACATGGCTTAACTAGCATGCGCAGGAATCATTTGAGTGTTTTGGCAGCATTTATCTCAATGCAGAATCAGTGTACCTGTTCAGCAGGGGTAGGAGAGAGGTCTTGGTTTCTCTTCAGCAGACATTCACTTAAAGAAGTCTCATCAGGGGCCGGCTTCACTCGAGGAAAGGCCATCTCACACTGCAAGAAGTGATTTATGAGCTGGAGGCTTATTGTTGCACAAAGCAAAGAATCAATGTAGAACAGCACTTACGACATAGAAGTCAAATGGTATGTGAGGGACAAAGGGCCGATACCTGAAAGAACAGAAGGCATAGACAAGGTCAATATGAAGAAATTAAAGTAAGCAAATTAAAAATAATAATAAAAAATACAAGCATATACATAAACAACGCACCCCTGGATCAAACCTCCGCGGGAGCCGAATCGGCCACCTCGGCCCCTGCCACGATCTCCTCTGTGAAAAACAAAAGCAGTCATTTCAGTAAATTAAAGGGGGGAACAATCTCAAATTTGTGTTAAAGAGATTAATTTACGGGACAAACAAAAAATAACTGTTGAGAAAGCACAGTGATTCACAGGTGAAACGCGCATCATTGTTCATGCTAATGCTCGGTTCTACGTTCATTCATTCATGAATAAACAATCTCGTTATTCGGATACATAAGTTAGCGTTTAAAAAAAAGTTCTAAATGAGGATTAAATCCAACCGCATAGTTTAATCAGTTTTAACGCATGTACTGTAATCATAAATACATTTTATTTATTTTATTCATCAAAAGCACAACGGCTAGCAGAACAACATGCTAACAGGCACCTGGCTAGCTAACCACCAACAGAACAAATAATAATAATAAAAAATGCTACAGTTTGATGAACCTCGGTTTGTAACTTAATCAAGACGATGTTATTTTATTTAAAGAAGAAGAAAAAAACAATTGGTACCTCATTGCGTAAGACGTTTTGTCAGTTTCAGAAGAACACGCGCTGGTGAGAAATACCTTGCCTCTGTCTGCAGCTCTCCGCTCGTCTGACTCTGCGCTTCTATTGCTCTGCGCATCCTTCTTCTTCTAATTACGTTTTATGGCGGATGGCAAACCAACTTCTGGTGCATTTACCGCCACCAACTGGACTGGAGTGTGAAGCACTAATGTGCAACTAATGATGATAATAATAATAATAAATAAATAAATACTCCTGATTAATCATATTTCTTTGATATATTTTATAATAGCACCATATATTTTACCTTGTTCTGCATGCTTTTTCAAAAGGCTTGTCAAATTAAATGATTCAACACCCATGTTTCTTACTTCCTTAATGAGTTTTAACCTTTCTTTTTCATATTTTTTTTTTTACATTTTATTAAAACATGCTCTATTGTTTCTGCCTGATTACAATAAATACATTGACCTGTTTCATGTTTTCCTATATTAAACAGAGATTTATTTAAACTAGTATGCCCTATTCGGATGCGAGAAATAATTGTATCTTCTTACCTATTCCTAAAAACACTTCTTCCATTTCGTACTCGCTGCTGAATATTATACAGACTTCTTGGTCTGCGCTTCCCTTGACTGATGTTGCTTTTGGCTATATCCGTCCATCGGCCCAGACGAATGGCCCGCGCGGCCCACTTGAGTCAAAAATTCTGCAGCGGCTCAAAAGCGCTCGTCAATGTCAAAATGTTTGAAATAGCCAATCAAAGTGAAGGCGGGATTTACTGTTCACTGAGCTGAGCTGCGCGCCACTTGAATGCGAGCTGAGGTAAGATGTAAGCAGCCAAACATGACAAGAAAATTCAGCAATATTAGCCAACTGTTTACGATAATGAAAGTCAACCGACAGACATACATTTTCAGAGATGCAAACTACTTCTGGCCTTTTCGAATTTCTTAATGCCATTTACGTTATTTGTCACAACCCTATGGTCACAACATAGGCTAAGATAAGATAAGACAAGACGAGGATAAGATACGATTTCTATCCAGGCTTTCTTCTGTAATTTCACGTGTCAAAGAAAAAAAAAACGTAGGCCTAAAATATCATTCTCAAAATTACTCTTGAACATCGTAAATCTGAAGACTTTCACTTTCAAGTGTCGTGATTAGGAAAGTGATATAGCATAAGGCTATAATAAAAATATAACAATTTGCTATTTCACATGCATTATTTTATATACACTGGCGGTCGTTTGAAATAATTAAGACTTTATTTATTTTTTGAAAGAAGGCTGAATTTATGTGATCAAAAATACAGTAAAAATAATATGAAATATTACACTTAAAATAGTGGTTTTCTGTTAAAGATATTTTAAAATGTAATTTATTTCTGTGATTAAAGCTGAATTTTCAGCATCATTACTTCAGTCCTCAGTGTCACATGGTTCTTCAGAAATTATTCTAATATGCTGTTTTGCTGCTTAATTATTATCCGTTATTAATTATTACTAATGGTTCTTATTATTATCAATACTGAAAACTGTTTTTGTGTAATATTTTTGTGGAAACTGATACTTGAAAGTTGAAAAAAAAACAGCATTTATTTGAAATATAAATAATTTGTAAAAAGTATAAATATCTTTACTGTCACTTAAATCAATTTAATGCAACCTTGTTGAATAAAAGTATTAATTTATATATTTTTAATATTATAGACCAGTGGTTCTCAAACCTCTCCATGAAGTACCCCCAGCACTGCACGTTTTGTATGTCTAATACAAGACATGACACACCCATTACAGGTCTTGCAGTCTCCACTAATGAGCTGATGAGCTGAATCAGGTGTGATAGATGAGGGAGACATACAAAATGTGCAGTGCTGGGGATACTCCAGGACAGGTTTGAGAACCACTGGTCTATAATATTAAAAATATATAAATTAATACTTTTATTCAACAAGGTTGCATTAAATTGATTTAAGTGACAGTAAAGATATTTATACCTAGACTGAATGGTAATGTATCACATTTTCCATAAAAATATGAACCAATACAACTGTTTTCAACTTTGATAATAACCAGAAATGTTTCTTGAGCAGCAAATCAGAATGATTTCTAAAGGACCAATAGAAAGGCACCATAAAAAACAGTCCACATTGTGCACTACATTCTTCTACAAGCACTACACTACAAGCAGCACTGCACTACAAGTCTTATAGAGCAGAGCATTGTGTATTGCATTTAACTTTGGTGATATTAAACTGTCTCTCTGATGATTTACTATTTGTCATATACACCAGAAAAGACAAGAATGTAAAGAAGTATGCCAGTCATTCATTAATGTTAATGATAAGAATTTCAATTAAAAACAAAAAAATAGATAGCATTTTATTTCTGTATTGTGTTATATTTTTTTGTTAGTAAGTGGTGTTAAAAATTGCTCTGTGCATAATGAGCTGGTGGGTTTATGGTGTGGTGTGTTGCAGACCGGGTGTGGTGGGCCGCTCTGTGCCAGAAAGTCCAGGGCCATTTTTTAGCCCCAGTCAGCCCCTGCTCCGATAAATTGCACTTTAATGTTGAATTTATAGTGGCAGAAAGTTATTTTAGGGGACGTTTATATTTCACAGAAAGGCTTTTGTTTTTCTCCTCAATGAATTCCAAATCATGTTTGTTTTTCTCCCTCGTCCGTTGCCACAAGCAAACCATAAGTGCGCCCTTTAGTTCAGGTGTCACGTGTAAACAGATGCAGCAACTCGTGCATCAAACACATTTAGAGTAAATATGATCATTTTAGAAGTTTAAGGAAAGAGGTAATTGGTTCATTGTTTCACGGAATTGCAAACTATAATCAGATTCTAATAATTGCATATTTTTAAAATCTTAATCAAATTGATTGAATTATAATAAATTACAATAAACAAGAACATAAAAAATGTGCAAGTGCTTTTTTTTTTTATTGGAACGTTTCTTGGCACATAAAATACCACGTTGTGTCAGGAGCCAGTTCATTCCAGCGAAGTGATTAAAAGAACTGAATAATGGGTAATGTGTCAGTTCAGTCTTATAGCTTCACATTGAAAGTTTCTATCCAAACACAAGAGGGCATCAGAGCATCATTCTCAACACTTCTCAAAACTGTTTTAGTTGGAAATCGATTTTCTTCTGTGAAGAAAAAAAAAAAAAATTTTTTTTTTTTTTAAAAAAAAAAAAAAAAAAAAAAAAAAAAATATATATATATATATATTTATTTAAAAGAACTGGCCAATTCAAGCAGACCTAAAACATTCCAAATCATTTATGTTTAGCACTTGCAGCATTAGGCTATAGCTGCTCATTATGATCAATAACTAATGTTTTGTCTCTGTAATGGCATAAACCCTGACATCAGCTTGCTCTGCATGCATATTCGTTCCTGTATGTGCTAATATTAAATGATAGCATTTTAAAGCAAGCCACTACATGGCAACTTTAATTACCTCTGCTCAAAGCACATCTTCTAATTGCCATTAAATATTAAATCCCTCTTCCTGTTGTATATGCTGCACAAATAGTTTACACAAATCTGCAACTGACACCAAGCCAAAGAGGTGAGAAGTCATAAATATTGATGAGCCAGAACTGCTGTGCTGGTTTAATTATCCTTACTGATTAAAAGAAAAACCCGAAGCTTAAACCGATATATCAATTTTCTATATTGCGGCCCTGTAAAATAAAATTGACTAGGAAAGTAAATGGAAAATATTTTAGCATTCTGTACTAGCATCATTAAAAGTGGAATAGAGACAGTGGGCAGTGCAGTGCCAGTTTTGTCTTAATGAATGGAGTGACTCAGCTGTGTAGAAGAGGCTCATTAGCAGACTTCAGTCAGGGTCTTGTGCCCCAGGCCATAGTCTCTCATGTACAGCGTCCACCCTGCTGGCTGAGCCACATTTGGACGTGCTATAGAACCAGGGGAAGCTATAGAGGAAGATATATGGCCACTAAACCCCACATGTGTGATGGTTATGCTCCTTCATGCAGGTCAGTGGATAATGTAATTTAGTGTAATGAATCTAAAATGCAAAGAGGGGGTTCACGTCACTGTATATGCACACAAACACACATCATTTGAAATAAATCTGCAATTATTCCTCCGCATTTGATCTTGGAGTAGTTGAAACCTGCCATATTTCATTCCAGCACATGTGACGAGATGTTTACTGCACGCAAACCCAAAGGTCACTTACTTCCCCATTACTGCCAAGAGCTGTCACACATCACATTCCTGCGCAAACATCCCACGCAGGGAAAACACAGGACAGCTCGGTGTCCGGTAGACAGCGCTTGTGGATTCTTTCTATTTATTATGCAAATGATAAAACATATCACTAATTAGTTTTCTGCATGAGTGGCATCTTTGAAGCACATGTCTGGTTGCTAGTTGACACGCACATATTTAACAGAATGGGTTTTCCTATTGCTGTCTGTTTGTGCAATCAGTGTATTGGATGTGAGACTAAATACAGAGGACTTTCATTTTGACAATAAGTTTTATATTACCACTTTTATATTACGACTTAAATTATTATGCTCTTTTACAAAGTCTTGATTTTGTTTTGGGGGTGTACTAGAACATGCTCTCATGCATCCCCAGCCTGGCACAAACGGCTCGATTAGTTCCAGGTTTGATGAAGGCCCGCCTTCCGAAAAACTAAATGTGTTGTGATTGGTTAGCTATCCCAGTGTGTTGTGATTGGCGAACAGCTTAGACGGTGTTTCAGTACTGCCCCGCCCCTTGCCAAAGCAGGAAGTTCCATTTGCTTTGGTATAGTTAAGGACAGACCCCGAGAATATTGAACAAGAGGATCGCGCAGAATCTTTGCACGCACGGATATTGCAAGACATATTAGAGTGGTAACGTTGTTGTTGTTGTTGTTGTTTTTTGTTTGGCTAAATCACGTTTTAGATAGGATGTCAACAGCCGCTTAAAAACAACTGCATTTACTATGTACAGATAAGTGCATATGTATTATGTTTATTGTTCTTTAATTCTAACATTATAACATGAATTGCAGTGAAACTGTTATACAGTTGAATTTATTTATACCATAGTCCAGTGTTTCCCACAGACTTGCACTCTATTTGTGGCGGCATATATATGCAAATTCATTCTCTACCAGCAGGAGGCGCTGTTGGAGTGGAGATCGAGGTTTCCCCGGTAACGGCTGTACACAAAGCAGCACTCTGCTCACAAACACTGCTTTATCAGACAATACATGCAAGAAGAAATGAAAATGACATCCAAAATGTTCTGAAGACAGTCGGTTTCCTTCAGAAATACAGTGATATAAAAACACCCGCACTCAATGTATGGGAAACACTGTAGTCTCATAAATGAAGTGTAAATTCTGCAGATTACATCATTGTCCAGTATTGTACTGTCAGCAATTTATTATAAAAACGTTTTCATAATTGTAACATACATATTTACATACATAATTATTCAGGTGCATGTGTAATAACTTGCGAAAACTTGACACAGCAGCACTTCTTCGTCGTCGTCGTCTTGTCTGATGCACTCAACCAAGCGTTCTAACTACGCCCCTCCCCACCCCCCAGCCTATTGAATTTCCATAGGCAGGAATTATTTTAATGATATTCTAATAGGCCGCTTTGTGACATCACAAACCCCGTAAAACAACGCTGTAGTCCAAACGAGCCGTTCGCTGTAGTTCTTGAAAAGGGATTTTTAAAAAACAAAATATCTCGCTTTGGAGTGAACTTTGAGATTTGTAACTTTGTAGATCTTTTTTATGTCCAAACATACACACTACATACTGACTAAAATTCAAAAAGTGAAAAAGCATAATAGGACCCCTTTAAATGATGAATAGTCACATAAAGAGCATGTTAAACTGTAATCCATGGTAACAAATAATGCTTGTAGTACTGAGTGAAATACACCTGAGAGTATATCAACTAAATATTGAGAAGAAAATTAGGAAAATCAGCAAAAGTGTGTTATTTTCTATGTTATTTTAGTGCATTTATGCTTTACTCTCAGACATCCCAATGAACATACTGCACATTGCTGCCTTTTTAGTTGAACGAGTACTTTTTGTAAATTAATAATTCAATTTCCTTTTTTATTTTCATTGTAATTTTTAGTTAAATCAAATTATAAGTTTAGAATCTAACTGTGCAGAGAAAATTACCTTTCTAACTTTAGCAGACTTTGGAACGCAGCTGAATTCTCTCAAAATCACAATGAACTTATGTTTCTGGACTCCTGCATTTGAATTTGTATGATTGGAAATAAATGGAATTAAAAATGTTAATGGCAGAAAAACCTTTTTTAAAGGAAGAACCTTTTTTTCTGTATAACACAAAATAACTGTTTTAGTTCATGCATTGAAAGTCAGTGGGATCCAGTGTTGTTTGGACCCAAACATTCATCAAAGTATCTTCTTATGTGTTCTGCTTAAAGAACCACTATACCGAATATTTATTTGCAATCCTTTCATTCGGTGTTTATGTTATTTACTGTATGTTGTTGAGTGGTTTATAGTAGTGACTTTTATTTCTGTGTGGTCATTCTGAAGCATGATTTATTATCTTCCTTTCTCTTAGAGTGGGTTTTGGTTGCAGTGTAATTACTAGCTGGGAAAGGTTAATGAGAACCAGACTTTTTTTCTCTCTCTCTCTATGTGTTTATATTGCATTTTTCAGCACAGAAGGGAATTTGTTTCATGGAAATGCCTTGTATATTCAATGCCAGATGCACATGGCTGGTTTTGGGTTTGCTGAGGTGTCTGTGCTGCTGGTCAGGAGGGGCAGTTTGTAAAACTGTGTGTTCTGCTGTTAGTGTCACAGACGGCGCATGTGAAATGTCAGTTCAGAGCAGAGAACAGCGGCCTTATCACGTCCTCCTTCTGTCCAGTGCCTCAAGGGGACGGATTATGTTGTTTCTAGAAAGAGGTGAGAGGACAAGGATAGATTATAATACACACACACACACACACACACACACACACACACACACATTCACATACTTTCACACTGCCAGTGTGTCCACTCTATATCTCTCTCACACACACTGACATTCAGACAGTTGAAACAAATGAAAAGGTGCTTGTTCTTTCAACCCATAAAACACTCATCGTGAATCTTGTTCTGTTTGCGGTCAGTGGCTTTAATGAGGTCCACTCCTGTGACTGCACAGATAAGGAAAAGCCTCCAAATGCTACAACGTTCTTATACCCGCCTCTTTTTACAGACCAGTCCCGACCAGCCATTCAGCACCTTGGAGAGCGGCGTGCAGCACACTTTCATTGAAGTGCAGATCGTAAGAGATTGTGCCAATTCAGCATTTATTGACCTTCATGTCAGCATAAATGCTCATAGACATGCACTATAGACACACTCCCCTATTGTTCTTTCCCACGTCTGTGTGAAAGAATGACTTTAATAGAATTGTTTGTTGCGAATGAACTGCCATCACCATGCCTGTAAAAATGTTTGTCATATTGCATAAATGTGTATGATGAATGTAAACGGCATAGGTTAATTCCCAGTGAATAAACCATGGAAAGACATAGGCAGTGAAATTTACATATCAAATAAATTTTCTACGTATAGTGATCATAGACAATAAACAACCACTGTTTCTGTGATGTATAATTGAGATAATTAATTGAATATGTAACAAGATTTATGTGACTAGAACTTACATTAAAGAGATAAATATATAAAATATTCTATATTATTTTATACATTTTACATATTAATGTATAATAATAGCGTAATTAATTTATATATAAATAATATTTATAATATAAATATATTATATAGTTAATCTTAAATAAATAGTGTAAAATGTAGATACAAATAACATACAAACAAAATATTTTTTATTTATTTATTTTTGTATATATATATATTACATTAAAAATGAGAAATGTAAAAATTATATATATATATATAAAACATTAATAAAAGTGTTAATATTTTAATACATTAATATTTTAATACAATAATTAATATGTTTTAAAAAAAATAAAATTGCTGTTTACAGACTAAGAAATGTAAATATGGATTGAATTAACACTTAATACAACACTTAGGCCCACATTTGTACAAAAGCAGTATCATAATGATTTATAACCAGTGGGGGGTGTAGGTGTAATTTAGATTTTGTGTATTATCTGGTCCTTTCAGGCCCTCCTAATTACATACCTGCCCCATGTGATGAATGCAGAGTATGCTGATCTGATAGTCTTTTTTCATTTTGATATGCACTCTCTCCCACTGAGGCCAAGTGAGGAGAGTTATACTGTGAGTTCTTTTAATCAGCCTAATTACTGCAATTGTTTGAGAGAAAGAAGAGGTCTTATGAATGATAGACTTGCTTTTACAGGCCGTTTATGTAAATGGAATGTAGCTCATTTGTGTTTCCCATTCTAAAAGAATCTGTAGATATAGTTAGATGTGACAAGTTGTATTCACTTAATTGTTAGTATGTATTCCTGTCATGCTGTTTATTATGTTTGCTTTATAATCCAAATTGGATTCTAGTGTTCGAGAAAAGCTCTTCTATCATCATTCATCAGTCTTTCCAACACTTTGTGATTGATAAACTACAAAAGATGAGAGAACTTCAGAGTGGTTTCAATAAACCAAATTTATTGAAAGGAGTACTGAAAACATTCTGATGATGGGTTGTTATAATTGCTTTGTGTGCAAGCAGAGCTTTCTGATCAATTGAAATGTAAAATGGCATCTTTATGGTCAGAGGAAACCCTGATGTTAATTTGATTTAGTTCACATTTGCTGGACTGGAGTGATTTTTTGATAGGCCACATTAATGGCTGCATTAGTGGATAAAGTGCAGACTCTGGGCTGGATAACTTTATAATTTCCTTTTTAGCACCGACCTGTGATGTCGCCCAGCACAATTGCCTATTAAGAGCTGCATCTCTCTTCAGAGGCTTACAGTCCATTCTGTGGGGTTTTTATGGTTGAGGAATTTGGGTTCATGATCCCTGGTGAAAAGTTTTTTTTTTCTTCTTTTTTCTTTTTAGTAGTCAGTTCAGGTTGTAGTTTTAGCTAAGTTTTGTAAAGGGTTAACAATTAAGACAGAGATTGAATTAACATCTGTGTGTTTTTTTCATATATAATTTCATGTTTAAAAAAAATTATATTTGGATTTTAGTCATGGTAGACACCAAATTTATTTTAATATGAACTAAAATGAGTCCTAAGTCAAGTCAAATTTTTGCAACTATTTATTTTACTCATTTTTATTTAATTAAACTGTCCTAACCCTGTCTTTTGAGAAGTCATAATAATTTGGCAAAAGATTAAATCCTAAGAAATGGTCCTAGCTGGTTCATATATATATATATATATATATATATATTAGGGCTGACAGTCGATTACAATTTTTAATCTGATTAATCACACCCTTTTTCTGTGATTAATCACGATTAATCGCACACTTCATGAAATTAAGCATAGACTATTTATCTTGTTTCAAATGTTTATTTTGTCATCATTTGCTATATCCAGCAAAGTAAACCAAAAGATTGAAGGGTGATTCTCAAAAATCTAGATTTTCTGCAAGCTTATTTTAAGATAAATGTAGATGTCTTTCCAAAAGAGGACACTTCACTCCAAAACTCCAAAAGGACTGTGTGTGGAAACAATGTGAATGTACGGAAATGTCTGTGCATAAATGCAATGTGTGATCAGTGCGTCAAGAGCACTCGTACACAGTGTTGGGGAGTAAATAGTTACATGTAACGGAATTACGTAATTTAATTACAAAACAAAAGTAATTGTAATCAGTTAATCGCAAGCAGAGAAGCAAAATTGGGTTAAAGGGTTAGAAATTGTGCTTCAGTAATTTTGCGTTAATTGCGTTAAATTATTTTAACGCGTTAAGGATTGTAAAATTAATCGCATGCGTTTACGCGTTAATGACGACAGCCCTAATATATAATATATGTATATATATATAAATCTACAACCTAAATCTAACCGTAAATCCAAACCTTACGTCAACCCTAAACCTAATTATGAATATAATGGGCAAAAAAGTCATAAAAGTTTTTCATATGCACTAAATTGTATGATGTAGGCCTATATATGATTGCTGCCATCGCATACTAATTTCAAGTTGTCATGAGCGTGTGTTGCTTGTACTTCTATCTTTCACAGCCTTGTTTTCGTTTGCTGCAAATTAAATATGGCATCTATCCTGACAATGATCCATTGTGCTTATGATGATGAATTTCTTATGGCAGCAGTGAGAATGAGAAAGAGACAAAAAATATTTGAATCAGAATTAAAAAGCAATTAAAAACTCATGTACGAATAATGAGAACAGTATAGATGTGCTTCCTAATATCCCGCTAACAGCAGAGGAAGGCGTGAAGTGGGATGAGCCTTGTGTTTATCCCTGTCTCAACATCACAAGAGTGAAAATTGGTATTTACAATCACGGCTTTGAGACGCATCTCAATGTTTTTCCCAAATAATTATCATACTTCAGATTGGATGGATCAAACAAACAGTTGTTTTGCAGTGAATTCTTAATGACACTCTTTGATGCAAACAAGAGACCGCTCATTTTAAAATGGATGTTTGCATCTGGGGTGAGAATATTTGGCTAAGAAAGTCTGTAATTTTTCAGCATCTTGCTGACTCATGAATTAATTATGAGCTTGATTGTGTAATCTCAAACAAACACACAGCAGTGAATAGAGCGTATGTGGTAAGATGCAACTGACTTGTTGAATTTGCATCACTAGCATCATTTGACCGGCACTAATGGAAGTTTTTTGAGAGTCTAAATGGCGTTTGTTTCTGCTTTGTATACACTTGTCACCACATTTATTGATTGATTGATTTATATTTTTTTAAGTGGAATGTCTAATTAATCAGTCAGATTGTGTAAAATAATCCAGCATCCATCCCAACTTCTATCTATCTATCTATCTATCTATCTATCTAGATAGATAGATAGATTTGTATTTAAAAAAATAATAAAATCTGTATACAAATTATAATAATTTAACAATATTTTTAAGATTGTAATTTTGTAAATTAATTTCAATAATAATAGTAATTAATATTTATAATATTGATTAACTTTAATGTTTGAAATTAATAATTAATTTAATATTTTATTTAAGAAATGATACACTCTAAGAAAAGCCTGTATAGTACGGCCCAATGTACCGTTTTAATATGAAGACATTTTCCATATTGATTTTTTTCACACTATAATATCTTAGAAATATGTTTTTTTGACATGCTTGAGCAGCAGCTGTGTTATATTCAGCGTTTTCTGCTTGCTTATAAATCGGTTTTGAGCAACATATTTTTGTAACAAACTCACTCCTACTTGTTTGTGTATGTCTGCTGCACATGTGTGTGGAGGCTGGTCCCTCACCAGTGCTTCTCACTGGTTGCTATGCAGAACATGGGTAGCTGCATGACCCACATTTCAGGAATGCCAAGGTTTGATGCAGATCGTCAATGTTAAAACAACAGGAACCAGCGCACTGCGCATCCTTACAGATAAACAAGAGCTTTGATTTGATCTAGTTTCTGGAGTATCATGCCATCCAACCATCACTTTGTGCTTCTTTCACTGTAGGCTGTTTAGAGTGTGAAGTGTGTTCTAATCCAACGACTGAGCACATCAATTTCCCCTGTTTCACGGCAAGGAGGAACAACCAGTTTCTATTAACCCTGGTGGTCTCCAGCCAGCTTTCAAAACCCTACTGTTTTTCAAAACTTCCTCTTATTGAGACGTAATTCAGTCTCTTAAGCCCAAACCCATGATTTTTGTGCCTCAAAAAGAGGGGGCTTCTTTTCCAGCGGCTCCAGTGTCTCATCCGTATGGTCCAGTCATCATAAATAGGTCAAAACTGTGCAGGTTGAATTTATTGTAGAGTGAAATTGGTTGAAATTGTATTTGCCCCATTCAAGTCACTTTATGTCTGAATTGGGGGCACTTCCGCGTGTGGCTTGAGATCACGGCAGGTCTGACACTGATGAGAAGTAGCAGAAGTTGTTTCACTATGTTCTTCAACTGAAAGAGTTGGCTGCAAAGCTGGAAAAGCATAGTGTTTTGGAAATGCACTGTGGCAGAACTGCTTGACACCGTACTTTATCTGATAGTGTGTTTATTAACATTGACATAGGGGTGGGCGATATGACCAAAATCTTATATCATGATATGAGTAATTTTATTTCATGGTAAAGATATATATCACAATATAGGTATTTTTGCTTTAAAAAAGGTCTTTATGATGAAGTTTTCGTGACCACATACCACAGCAACGTCATGTGAGCATGTAACCGCGATAGAGACGATAGTCCAAAATCTCTACTGGTTGACAAATTTCTACCGGTTAATCGCGTCTACCGGTATATCACCCACCCCTACACTGACATATTGCACATCCATTTTATGTTTTATACCATGTGGATATATACTCGTATGAATTTTGGATTTCTGTCATTCTTAAGCTTTTTTTGGGATGAGGTGGATTTGCATTCTTGGGGAGCTTATAGAGGAATCACCGGTTGACAGTGCAGGGGTGATTTTCAGCTAATCCTGATCCATTTAGATTCAGAGACGTCTC